AGAATGGTGAAGAAGTTTTGATCAATGGCAAATCCATTTTGAGTCTTAAAGATTGGAGAGTTCCAGATGAAGGCAGTGACATGTTTACATTATGTAAAAAACAAGAAGGAGGGAAGAAGGATGCGTGTGAACAAAATGTGAGGGCGTTCTATTAGAAAAGTCTACACATCTTCCCGGGATACAGTCCCTTTCAGAGGACTGGCAAGTGAGACCCAGCTTCTAAAAGTGGCAACAGTGAAGCTGCCCCCTGCTCCATGGTTGCTGACTGGATCAAGGATGGATACCTGACCTACTGCACTGGTTATTGATGAGCCAGTGAGACTGTGCTGAGGGAAATCGAACTGACAGATCACAAGGGTCTTTGGCTAAACATTTGGGAACTGACCCTTCTGTGGTGGCTATACTGGGTCATCCTCAGAATAACAAAACAGGGGGTGCTGAGCCAGGTATAAACAGGACCTTACCAGATTTGCTGAAAGGACCCTGAAGAAAGAGACTACCTGCACTCTGTTGCCTGGCGGGTTGTTGAGTTAATCACAGTCCATCAAGTTACACTGTATATGGGATGGCAAACTGTGGTCCTAGGGAGGATCCAGTTTATGGCTGCTTTGTGCTCATCCTGAGTGAAGGATTGTTCACACAGCCTTAAGAGTCACAGATGAGGAGGAAGGCCAGAGACCTACCCCGCCTTCAAAGCTATTATAGAAAACGTGTGCCACAATGGCTGTGATGTAGTAACAACGACCGCCAGTTGCTGAGCTTTTCTTTCCTGTTTCTTTGTTATGGTTTCAGATCTCAGGTTCAAGTCTGTAGTTCATTTGGAGTTGACTTTCATGTATTATATAAAAGAAGGGTCCAACCTCACCCCCTACTCTGCACAGAGATGCCTACCTCCCCCAAGCACTTCCGTAAATCGCCCTTCTTCATCCAATTCTGTGTTCTTGACTCTTGTGTTACTCTTCCTGCTGCCATAACGAACTACCTGGCAGGAGCAGCACAGGGAAGAAAAGATGTGTGTCGGCTCACAGTCTGAGGGCAGGAGTCCATCGCATAAGAGAAGGTGTGGTGGCAGGCAGTGCTCACATTCCATCCACGACCAAGAAGCAGGGAGCTGAATGCTAGTGTTCAGCTGGCTTTATCCTTTCTCTCTTTGCTCAGTCTGGGACCATAGTCCACAAGATGGTGCCACTCGCTGTCAGGGTGGGTTTCCCCTCCCCAGTCAAATCTCTTTGGAAATTTCCTCTGACACTCGGGGGTGTATCCCCTAGGTGATTCTAAATGTGGTCCTAGTCGGAAAGGTTAAGCACCATAGCACCTCTGCTGCACATAGATGTAGATGTAACCAACCGTCTTATTAAATAAGAAACACAGAAACAATGTAAAAGAGAGAGCCGAGAAGTCAGAGCTCAGAGCTAAAATCTCACCCTTCCTCCTGCTGTCCCAGCTTCGCGAAAAGAGACCTACTTCCTGTTGGTTCGTTTTTTTTATAGTATGTTGTTCTGCCTTCTCATTGGTTGTAAACCCAAACACATGACTGCCTCGTCACTGTCTGAATGTACAGCCCCCTAGGTCTTAAAGGCATATGTCTCCAATGCTGACTGTATCCCTGAACACACAGAGATCTTATGGGATTAAAGGCGTGTGCCACCACCGCCACACTCTTGCTATGGCTCTAATAGCTCTGGCCCTGAACACACAGATATCTATGGGATTAAAGGCGTGTGCCACCACCGCCACACTCTTGCTATGGCTCTAATAGCTCTGACCCCCAGACAACTTTATTTATTAACATACAATCAAAATAATAATTCAGTACAATTAGATTACCACCACACATAGAGTTGTGTGTGAGTGTTTATTTCTGAGCTCTTCATTCTGTCCTGATGGATGGCATGTGTCTTGAGGCCAGGAGCAGACTGTTTCCACTCCCGTAGGTTTGCAATGTGGTTTGAAAGAAGAAGTATTCTAGCTTTGTTTTTGCTATTCAAGATTGCTTTAGTTACAGGGGTATTTTAAGCTTCCATATGAATTTTCAAATTTCTCTATATTTGTGAAAAAAAAACCTCTGCAAATTAATATGTAAATTATAGGCACTAAAACAAAAACTAAATAAGTGGGACCACGTTGAATTAAAGTTTCTGTGCAGCAGAGGAAGCAGTCAGCAAAATGAAAAGGCAACCGACGAAATGGTAAAAAGTAGTCGTGGGTCCTGTCCCTGGTAAGGAGTAATATTCAGAACATCTGAGGGACTCATGCCAGGCAACAACCCAGTGACAAAGCTCCTGCATGCTTTCTCTCCTAGGAAGCCATGCATGACCAGCGGTATATGAAAACATGCATGGTTTTGCAAGTCAAAGCCACCAGGAGGGGTCGCCTCACCCTTGCTGGGGTGACCTTTATCAGAACATCAAGAGGAGACCAGCTCCACTAACAGCATGGAGGAAAGGCGCCCAGCTTCCGTGTCGACAGAAGTGTAAACTGGTGCTGCCCTTATGGAAAACCATATGAATGTTTCTCGAAAAGTGAAAAATAGAACCATGACGCGACCCAGCGATCTCACTTCTCAGTCTAAATCTAAAGATAAGAAAATCACTGCTTTGAAGAGAAACCTATCGTCCCATGTTCTTAGCAGTACTATGCAAAAGAACCAAGTTCTGAAGAGATCCGAGTGTCTGTTGGCAGATGGATCAGTAAGGAGAGTGCGATATAAACAGGGAAGCAGACACACACAGAGATGGGGGGGGCAGAGGAACATTGTTTAGCTTTTAACAAGAAGGCTTACACGGGAAACCTAAAACTAGGTTGAACTCATAGTAACAGGAGAATGGCAGTTACCTGGGAATAGGTTTGAAGTGCAGATCTTAGTCAAAATATAAACCTTTAGTTATAAGAGGAATAAGTCACCGAGACCTAATTCAGAGAACAGTGGTGCTGGGTAATAGTGGTGTCTTATATGCCAGAAATTGTGCATGCAACATATACATGCACACACATACATGTACCCCCTCATACACACACACATCACACATATATCCACATACACATACAGTACACACATACACACATATACATATACCACACACACATGTATGCATATACAACATGCACACATATATACACACTACACACATTCATATGTACACATATATGCACATACATGCCCATATATACACACAATTAATTATGAGAAGTGACATATATCTTAATTTGATTGAGGTAAAGCCTTATAGAATGTAGGCATATATGAGAATACCATGTTGTGTACCCTCAATATAAAAAAAAATTAATTCATCAATCATACCTCAATAAATAAATCCCCAGGGAAAAGAAACTATGACTGAATCTTAGCCACTTACAGTCCATGGGGCAAAGGTTCCTGTGCTACTCATTCACATGCCTGTGATCTTCAGGCTCTGCCGACCTCCTCATCAAGGAGACCAAGAGCAGCCACCATGCTGAACACCGTCGTCCTCCCCCCCCACCCCTTGCCACAAGCAAAGGTCTCCAGCAGGCCCTGCACCAGCAAGGAGATGCAGCAGTCTGGAAGCTCATCCTCAGGACTCCTCACACAGCCCGCCACAAGCATGGAGGGAAGACAGTCCCACTAAGCCGGCAAGGCAAAGAAGCCAACACACGTTGGCAAACAGTGTAACACTATGTACTGAAAGACATGCTAAAAACCTGTATCCGCGCTGACCCAACCTGGGTCTGGTCCCCAGAATTACAACAAGCTTTGATTGGAGGAAGGTTGCAGAAGAGGCCTGGAAAAGAAGACTGATTAAGCTTTCTTGAGATTGCCTGCTAAAGAGGTTCCTTTTTACAAGTCTTAACAGACTGCGCCTAATAGCAAAACTGATCTCTATAGATTTTGCCAGCGTTACACAATTAGACCAGCATTTTAGAGCCTTTACTCCAGCGGCCATGTGGACATGTAGACGAGAGACTTGTTGAATTGAGAACACACCTAAGTTGGGAGGCCAGTGAGGAAACTCGTGCAGAGGACAGGGTGTAAAACGTGCACTTAAAATGAAGTGATGCTCTTTGCGATCAGCAAGTTAGGTGGAAGGCAAGGGTCTAAAGAGAATGTACAGGACTTGTGTGGGAGAAAGTGTGAGGCAAAGGAGCTAAGGAGAGCCTGTGATTGACAGCACAGCCGCCCAGTGGCTGCCGAGACTTGTAACTTAGAGGGTAGAGGAGAGAGTGTTCATTCTGGGACAGCTCCTAGGTCAGCTTGTGATTGACAACCTGATGGCATTCTTCCTTACTGTCCAGAGAGAAATAAACATCATGTCCTTGTTTCTAGGCAAACTTCGAGCCTTCATTTCTGTCTGGTTTATTTCTCTCACTCAGGCTGAGGACTAGAGCCTCCATAGCTGGCCATGAACTTGGCATGTGAAGATGGAAGTTTACTCTGCCATAATTTCTCCTTGATTTTCCTCTCTGCACTAAATTTGATTTCCAAGAGTACATAATTAAATAAATTAACAGAAAGACATGTTCTTTATAGACTTAACACTTTCAAAAATAGACATTTTGAAAGACTTATTTATTTTTATTTTATATGTATGGGTGTTTTGCTTGTATGTATGTCTGTGCACTATTATGCATGCCTGGGGCCTGCAAAAGCCAGATTCCCAGGAACTATAGTTACATATGGCGATGAGCCACAACGTGCTTGATGGAAATTGAATCTGGGTCCTCTGGAAGAGCAGCCAGTCTCTTAATCACTGAGCCATCTCTCTAACCTAACAAGCACGCACGCGCGCGCGCACACACACACACACATAGACACAAATACACACAGAGAGACACACTACAGACACACAGACACACACAGAGACATACACACACAGAGATACATACAGACACATAGACATAGACACACATAGAGACAGAGACACACAAACACACACAGAGGGACACATACACACATACAGACATATACACACAGACACAGACGCACACAGACAGACAGACACATACACACACATACACACACAGAGAGAGAGATGGTATGCACTGTTAAAGCAGTCTCAGATCATAGTAAGCAACAATTTTCAGGTGGCTGTGCAAGGACTGATGGAATCCATTCATGCACAATTATCACAGCAATTCCCACAGGGCATTGATCTACTAAACAGGGCCAAGGTACCGAACATATTTAAATGGCAATGGACACATATGCAGCATAATGTTATATCTGAAAGCCATCTTGTGCATATTCTGTTTCCAGGTTTCTGGCTCCTCAGTAAGCATGATGTCACTTAGCAGTCACTTCCCTTTGCTGTTTGGCTCTGTCAGATCCACAACCAACTTTTCCCATTCTGCTCCGGATCACTGCAATTCCCAGCTCCTTCACGAACTGGTTCAGCTAAGTTCAGCCAATGAAAGGTGGCAGTGAAAAGAAGCAGGAGGAGGAAAGAACCTGGGGATGGTATTTGCTCCTCTCTCTCCTACCCAGGCAGCGTCCCGCCAGGGACTGTGTCTCTTGCATCCCTCTACCCTTGCTGGACTCCTACTTCCCCACTTTCCTTACTCCCTCTGGACAATTGCTCCTCTAGCTCCTTCTGAGCGGCTGTCTTCAGGACTCTTGTCTGTCACAGCTTCAGACTCCTAGGCGAGAACTGCCTCTAGGCTTCAAGATCTTTCTAGATCTCTCTTGCCCCTCCAAACCTGTCAGTAATCACAGCCTCTTATACCTGTTAAAGTCTCCAGTTACCTCCCCTTCCCACTGTTTTTGCTCAGCTTTTCTAGCTCTTCTGCGGCTATAGCCTCCTGCTAACCCACCTCTATCAAGACACAGAAGATGATCCATAGCCTGCAAAATGTTGAGGCTAAGGGTAGGAAGGGACTGGGGGGGGGATGTGGATCTGAATTTCAGAAGAAAGGCAAGGGGAGGGCCTGGGCAGTCTGTTCAGCCCCTCCCTGACCAAGCCCTCTCCCACCTCTGATATTGCACAGTCTCAATCAAAAATGGCCAACACATCACATCCCATATTCTCCTCACACGGAGCCTATGACAGGAGAGAACTTGGATGCTTCTTCTGAGCACAAAACTGAGAAAAGAGAGACAGTTATAGATAATCAGTTACTGAGATCTAAGTCAGGTTGCCAACAGCGTCCTGTCAAAGCAATGTGTTGATGCCTTTGTAGGACTGTAAGATGAGCGTTACCTAACCTGGGTTAAGTTGCCTGGCTCTGGCATCTGTTTAGTTTTAATCTTTTATTTTCCTCAGACAGGAGAGAGTAACACCTTTGCTAAATTCAAAGGTCTCAGTACAGCCAGCCAGAGGGAAGGCAGGACAGGAGCAGAAGCAGCTGTCTGGAAGTTGACCTTATTGTCTCAGGAATCCAACATGACTTCCTGCATAGTTGTAGGATTCTATAGTAATATTTTCAAAAAAAAATTAGAAAACTGTGGCCCACTCCCAGCAAGTCCTATGTAGATAAAAGGTTGCTACAGAATTGTGAAGGCTCAGTGTCCTTGACCCATCCATTCAAATGAAGTACTTTGTTAAACTGCAGGATGTTGAGCCACATGCCTTGAAATTCAGAGCCAAAAGGTCTGGATTTTAAAAGAGTAACACCCGGGGGATTTGCATGCATTTAGATCAAAGATTCCACCATGAGCAACACTTTCATTTTTACCTTATTCTGTACCTGGTTGTCAAAGTTCCTTCGAATCCACCTTTCCCTCCTGTCAGCAAAGTATCTGAATTCTCAAGCTGTGGTCTTAATGCATCATGTCAATCAAAGGAACATTAAGCAACTCAAACAATCTGGACACCAGGCATTGTTAGAGCCACTCATTGACTATATATCTCCTAGACACTGGAACCCTTGGTTTCTTCATGTAAGATATGAAAAAACAGTACTTGCCCTTATATACCTCCCAGGCTGCTAACAGGATCAGTAAGGAGCGGGGGTGGGGTGGGGGGAAGATATAAAAGCATTTTTTTTTTTTTTTTTTTT